TGATATAGAAGAGTGACTGATAATACAGAAGGCCGAAGCTAAAGTACACGACATTTCCGGCTGGTATTTATACTAACCTAGCTACTGCGAGATCAGCAGAGAAGGGACAACGTATGTACGAGAACGTCCAGGAAATGGAAGTGGTCTGGAAATGGACCGGAAATGACTTGTCTGGAAAAGGGTAGAACATTTGAGTAGGCACTTACTGTCTGGAAATAAAGAGTAAAGAAAAAACATATATCAGGATGATGGACCGATTGTAACACTCTCAAATGAAAATGAGTTTTTGCATGTTTCTAGTTTACGACATGCTGATTTTTGTCCATGCCCAACCTTCATACATACCGGCCAACGAAAACTGACTAATGTCTGAGGACAATCCATACCCGGTAGTCTGGACAAGTGTTGGTGTACTTCCGGGTTAAATACCCAACTTTAGATTCAATACTACCTAAATTGAGTGGATTTGTCACAATCTCGTGCACATCAGAGATTCAGCTCTGCTTCTCCATCAGCCTCTATAGTGTATGCCTTAGATTGGGAATTAAAGACGATAGAGACAAAAACCGAGAGCATGAAGAAGATATTTTGAAGGCCAAAGATAATTAATGCATCCTTCACATAGCCTCCAGAGTATGACCCAGTTGTATTGACAAGTCAACCTGCTGAACACCGGCAGGCGGCGGCGGCAGCGCGCAGGCCAAGTCTGCTTCCGCTGCTGATGCAACAAACCCCTGGCCACACCTCTTTGTGCTGCGACAATGTCCCCCAATGCAGCTCCCATAGACATCGACTCTGACCATGACCTCTCTGCCAACAGGGTACGGTGGAATCCATCTGACTGGATAGGAGCGACGTCCCTCCCGCCGTGCTACTGTTTATTGTCGGTCAGGCGGCAAGGCTGGTGTTCATGCTTGGCAGGAGACCGTCGCCTCCATTGGACAGGTGTCATACGTTGCGGTTCAAGTTCATGAGCAAACCATCAACATTAACTGCTTTTGCATGATCCACCAGCATGTCATGGCACTGCAAAGCTTATCATTCTTACCATGGCATGCACCTTTAGACCACTTCTTATGCATGCTACCCGGAGACATACTAACCTTCTCGCAAGATCGGAGGGTGCTACAGCTAAATGACACAGCCTACCATATATTCTGCAAGCTCAGCTGTCCTACCTCTCGTTCAAGAGTTCAAGCCGCCGTGACACATGGAGAGAAGCAGGTGGTGGTGGCGGCAGCTGCAATGACAACTGAAGGGAGTGAGAACAATGATATTTATAAAGAGTAGTGTATATCTGTGTAGTATGTATGAGTATACTATACACGAAGGAATAACAGGCGTAGTACAGGTGAGGAAACCGATAGGCCTGAGTCAGTGTCTGTACCAAAGTCAGGCCGTCAGGCCGGACCAGGAGGAAAATCTATACTATTTTGGGCTCATCATGCAAATTTTGTCCGTACCTAAAGGCCAAAATCAGCAAAATCTGTCCTCAGGCCTTCCCACCAATTGTCATGGGTCCTGTCCGCCCGTACACATCGACACTGCGGCCGTTAGCCAAATGAAGGGAACGTCCAACCCTTCCTTGCCATAGCTCTTTGCTCGCCGAGGATCTGGTCCTGAAAATTGCGGCACTGCTCAGAGTCACTGCTCTCTGCGCGCTGGGTGCATGCATCACATGATCCCATGCAAGGGCGACGCAATTAGATTTGTGGCTTGCGATGCTGTAGCCTTGACACAAGTTTCACAAGGACCAAAAATGTGTTATTTATGAATAGATATTTAGGCACTGCGGCAATTATTTCCACTGACACAAGGGTGGACAGCGTCGGGCACTGGGGCGGCCCATCACTTCTATTTTTAGTACTTGACACTGCCTTTCTGGAGGGGTTCAGCCAATCACGACAGTAATTCCCACGGCTGATTGGATGCGGTACTGGATGCGGACACAACGGGCAAAACCCGCATCCAGTTCCGCGCGAGGTGCGACTGGACATCATCTCCAGTACCGCATCCAGTACCACATCCAGTACCGCATCCAGTCGCGCAATCAGTCGTGGGAATTACTGTCGTGATTGGCTGAACCCCTCCAGAAAGGCAGTGTCAAGTACTAAAAATAGAAGTGATGCACTGCCCCAGTGCCCGACGCTGTCCACCCTTGAAGCTTGAAGCTTGAAGTTGTGTCAGTGTCCAAAGCAATTCTCAGATTATTTCGCCAGCCTATTTCTCAGGTGCCGGCTGAATAGCGGCACAGCGTGATGGCGTGATGGGAGATAAGCAATATTCCGCGCGCATTCTCAAGGCTACCTGCCAGATTGAGAGGCTTTCATGCGACTTTGAGTGCGCTGGCTGCTGAATTCACAGGGGCTAGCACCCCTCCGCCCATGCACATCGACACTGTGGCCGTTAGCCAAA